CACACACACACACACACACACACACACACACACACACATACACACACACGACCTGAAGTGTAGCTCAGTGTAAAGTCCTGGGTTCAATCTGATATCTGCAAAAGCCAAATCAAACCAAACCAAAATCTAATCAAACAAAACCCACCAATAAGCCCTGCAGAGGTAGGGCCTCACTTCTAAAGTTTCTGATTGGAATGGACTTTTAAATTTTGTATGTCTGCAAGTTCCTGGGTGATGCCAGTGCAAATGCTGCTGGCATTGAGATCTACCAATCTCGTGTACCCATTGTGAGTACCTAATTGGTTAGCTGAGTGTTGAGTGGTTTGGGGAATGGTGGAAACTGGATCATAGGAAAGATATTTACCTTCAAGGTCCAAATTTCATTGTTTATGTGATTCTCTTCCCCTTAAAACTGGATTTCATGAGTATATAGCATGAGTTTTTATAAGGGGCCCAACAATAATATATCTGTGCCTTGATATATTGTTAAGGCAAGACAATATGAGTAGAAGAGTCAAAAGTGTGTACTCTTTCCAATATGTGATCTCTTTAGGAGTCTGTCATTTTCATAGTTTGGCTTATAAATCTAGGCCATCTGTATAGATGACCTAGTCTATGCCCCTGGTGACAACTGTCCCCATAGACCTGGCTTCTATTCCTGTTTTAAAAACTTGACTTTATTGGCTCAGAACTAGTGTTGGAAGAAGGAGGTGTGGGAAATGGCCAGGGAACAAAGAGACCACAGCAGATACAGCTGCCTTTGCCCTGTCGTGAGGTTTATTTTACAGCACATCGTACGTCTTCAGAAGATGAGCTGAGTTGGTTAACTTTTTCCATCCCCAAATGCCTCTTGCTTTGCACATGTATTTCAAAGGCTCAGAGTACTGTGCTGAATATTGTCTCAACCACAGGCCTTTCCATCCTGCAGCTGGTGAGTCTTATATTCAAAAGAGCCTGGGACTTTCCAAGTGTTGATGTCACATCCTTAGCAGCTCTCCTCTGTCCTCTCTTGGGATTGGCTTGCCACAGCTATGCCTACCCGAAGATAAGCATGAGTGGCTTCATCTGTTTGGCCTGGATGCTGACATAATTGTTCTCATCCAGGTGTTCCCAGGTCTGTTTACCTTGGGCAGTTTTATTACCAGTTAAAGAATTGCTTTCCCCTTTCCCTCCTTTCATTCTCATCACTGACAGCTTCCTCTTCCCCACAGATCTACTTTCTGTTGGTTCTCAGCAGTTAGGATAATCTGCCATGCACATTAGCAGCAGAGACAATAGGTGCCCTATATTCATCCCTACCTTTCAGAGTGCTCTGGCTTCCAACTGCAAGCATCTGCATCACTGTGACTCAGGGCTCTCTCCCTCCAACCCATAACCCCCACACTCTGCTTGCACAGCAAGCCAGTTGCTCTGGAAGATTCCTTATATAACGACTCCTAGGCATTGGTATGTACACAACCCAAATCATTTGTTTCTACACGAGATAATTCTGGTATGCTTTGTACTATTTCCCAGAATTCTGTCATGGTAGCTGGTTTAAAAGCACATCACATTTTGGCTACATTTCAAGTATTTGTATATTTAGCAGCTATTTATTGAGTGCCTCCTTTTTGCTAGGCATTGTGTTAGATTCAGGATATACCTAATAAGTGAAGCAGACATGGTTCTTGAAGTCTAGTGAGAGGAATGAATAATAAATGATCCTGCAGAAATGTACAATTTCAAAATCAAGATAATGCTACTATTGCCACCAAGAGGTACGTGATAAAGGAAGTAAGTGACTTACTTCTATGATGAAGTGGTTGGAGGAAACCTCACTGAGGAGGAGGTGGTTTTGAACCTAGGACTTGAGAGTCAACTGCAGGAAGAGGTGGGAAATAGAATGTGCAAAAGTGTTGTAACAGGAGAGAATTTAGGATTTTTTAAGTGGAAAGAGGGCCAATGGAAGAAGAAGGGATAGCAATACCCAGTTCAGTGGGAGAGGCAGGTATGGGCCAGATCATCCATGATCATGGGTGGACATGTGTGCATATATTGTATGTGTCCATATACCCACAAGTGCTATAACCTCTCCCTTTGTGTTTGTATTCACCTAATGGTATGATAGTGAAATAAAATATGTCTGCATCTTGATTTTATGTGCATCCATAGAATTATGCCTCTGTATATGTGGGTTTGTTTTCAAATATACTTTCTTGTGTTTGTTTATAGGTATATATTCATGTATTTTTACCAGGATCATATTTGGGTCTGCAGACCTGTTAATTAATGCAAGAATGTGCTTCTGTGTGAAATGTGTGATGTGGACATCATGTGTATATTTGTGCGTGACTATGTGTGTGTCACGTTGTACGTATGTGTAGATGGCTGTTTGTGTGCATTTTATGTGTATATAAATTGTGTGGGTATCTGTGTTGCTGTGTGAAGCTCTGGAAGCAGTTTTGTCCTCAACCAGACCACAAAAGCTTGGAATTTTTATGGCCTACATTTGCTAGCAACATGCAAACTTTATTTGCAGTTACAGTTGTGCCTGGCTTTATTTTATATTTTCAACATTCCTGGCCTTTAAAAATCTGAGTTCTAAATATTTGTGTGAATGGCATGAAGATGTGTGCAATCCTCTTGGCTTCTGTATATCAGCTTCAGTTAGGTCCAGATCCTTACCCTTGTCTTTTTGAGTTAGTAACTTTATTTAGAAATGAGCCTCAGACCTGGGGTAGAGTAGTTTTCTTAGGCAGCTTTATGTTTTTTTTTTCCTCTGCCAGTTAATAGCCTAGTTGTAAGATGATCCAGCAGCTTGAGTGTGGGTAAATCAAACACAAAGAAGCCATCTCAGAGCTCTGTGGATGTTTTCACAGGCTGAAGGTGTCAGAGAAATAGAGATAATGACTCCCTGGAAAAGAACATGAGCAGCCAGTGCTTGAGCTGTTACTTCCTTGAGAGCAAGTGGGCCTGGTCCTTTGAGTGGAACTTCTTTCAGCTCTCTGTCCTGGCAAGCCACCAAAAATAATTTTCCCTGCATAGTCATGGGACACAGGCTCTGGCATGATTCCTTTTCTCCATGCAGCATGTCCTTTTTCGTGCCCTATTTGTTTTTCCAGCTAGACTGGTAGGTTGGGGTGAGGCCTTATAAAGGCTGTTGAGTCTACTTTATGCACACTTCTCTCATGAATGACCATTGTTCCTCTACTTCAACAGACTTGTGGTAGATTGGTTGTGTTGATGTCCTCAATTGGTGGCCTCCTTGGATCAATACCCTTAACACTTTAACTTCATAACCCCTCCTGCTTTGTCCCTAAGCTTGGCCATATGATTTACTTTGGCCAGTAAGAGGCTAGCAAACTTGATGCAAGCACAGATGGGAAAAAGCCCTGTGAGCTTTTACTTTTGCTTTTCTGTAATCACCTTAAGAATAAGGCCATGCTAGCCTGCTAAAAGATCTAGGTCCACATGCAGAAGGAGTAAGTTGCCCCAGCCAAAGGCATCTAAGACTAACTCTTATTTAGTGAACCTACCCAACCAAGCCCCGATGATCAGAACCACTTAGTCAACCCACAAGAAATAATAAATGGTTGTAGTTTAAAGCTAGTTTAAAAACAGCTTGTTGTTCAGCTATGGCTGACATACCCCTCAATGGTAGGGTGCTTATGGCCATTGGAGGCAGTGCATTTCATTGTGTGCCAACTCTGATATGGCAAAGTTAGAATCCATCTTTCTAATACTCTGACCCTGCCCTATGGGTATTGGTGGAATAAATCCTTTCTTTCATGGGTGATCTCCAAGTATTATTTTCTGATAATGATCACATTGTTAACTGTACCATTCTCCAACCTGAGTTCCTCTCATAGAGATGATTATCCTTAAATAAACTGGGTTATGTCATACCTTGCTAAAAAACCCTTCCATCATTTCTCATTATGCTTAGATTAAAATCCAAATTCCTTCCTGTTTCCCTGCACCATTCAGTGTCTTTGTCTCAATTCATCGTGAGTCATGCTCATCCTTGCTCATGACCAGCTGTCTTTATATTTCTTGACAGTATTAAGTTGTTTCTCACTGGATGGGCTTTTCTCATTCTGTTCTCCCCTGCCTAGGAATGAATGCATGCTGACGTGACTAAATCTTTTCTTCTCTGGGCCAAATATCACCAATGTTTGCGTTATTCTTCACTTGGTGTAGATTTAGGGTTTCTCACTATTCTGACTGCCTGTACTAGTATCCTGCTGCCCCACCTGGAATGTGATGCTCAGAGTTGTTCTTCTCGTATTCTCTTTGGAGGAAGTCTACACACACCAAAGGGATACTGCCCACCAAGAAAGACAGGACCACACATGTTCATTTGTGGTGAGTATGCTGGACAGGTAAATGGAAAGTGCCTGTGACAGAATATCAGGCTTCCAACAAGTTCATAGTAAAGGCGTTGGAGCTTCTGCTATATGAGAAGTTGGTGCATATACAGATTGACAGAGCAGGAAGGAAGAGTCACTGAGAATTTGTCCTTGAGGCTCCCCTTTAGGTCAGCCCTGGGCGGAAGAAGGTTAGAAAAGGCTAATGTGTGTCTATTAGCACAGGGAAGCCAGAGTCCTTCTCAGTTGCATATGATACTCTTCCCTTTAACCTGACCCCGAAGAGAGTGTGTCTTCCAGTAATGGATAAACACAGAGTCTAGTCATAGACTAGTAAAAGTTAAGCAATAGTAACTCATTATTGTGGTACCTGTATCATTATTGTAATGCCTGTACTCTAAAATGGGCACTTTCTAAGCCCTTAATTTGCTTTGTGTACCTAAAACCTTCAGAACAACCCTTTTAGGGAGAGCTTGTTGAAACTAGTTGCTTCCTAACCAATTAGTTGCACAGCAGAATGACCAGAGGAGCAATGAAAACAAAGCAAGAAAAGATTACTGGCTGATAGATTTCAGATGAGCCTCCAGCCAAAGGAACACTGCTAAAATCTTGGCCACCAGGGCAGCACTATTGGAAGGTGCTAGGGCTCTTCAACAGGTGAAGCCCTGTAGGAGTCCTCAGGTCATTGGGGTTGTATGCTTGAATGGGACTGTGCTATCTCATTCTCTCTCTCTCTCTCTCTCTCTCTCTCTCTCTCTCTCTCTCTCTCTCTC